TTCTTGGATCAGGCTTTAAAGGGTTAATATAAAACATTTATTTCAGTTTTTTCTTTTTACATATTTTGTTTAAAGTAGAACAAAATAAGGCCAAATAAGGAATTCAAACCAAAAGAAAAGTAATTTTCTGTTTTGTTTTATTCTGGATCCTGGTTTCTACCTGAGCTTTCTGGGCCACATCCAGGACGAGCTGGAACTTCTCAGATACAGTCAGGTCCTCCTTTGGAGGCTCCTGTAAAAAAAAAAACAAATAAATAACAAACCAAACTAATCTGAGCTGGAGCTGAAAGCTTCTGCTGATAGTAGAAACCAGAAGGGGGGGTCTGGACTCACCATGGGCTCAGAGACCTCAGGCACGATGCTCCACTGGATCCTCCAACCTCTGAGAGCACAGGACAGAGTCAGAGGCTGCCCGGGGAAGGGTCGTTACCATAGTAACACGTTCAACTGGATATCGATACTCAGGGAAAGATTTGATACCATTTTCAATACCACAAGGATAAAAACAAAGACCCCAAAATGTAACTGAATTTTGACAGGTTAGTGTCTTTGGTTTCAAACTGACCTGTTACTGACGTTATGGTGGACCACATTAATGACCCTAGCGCTAACCCTAACCCTAACCCTGACCCTGACCCTGACCCTGACCCTTAACCTAACCCTAACCCTCCAAGTCGGCCATTTTGATTAGGTCATGTGACTAGCAGCTTTCTGAGGTGAAACGAAACTTTAGTGTCTATACGAAATCGTAAGATAAACGATGTCCTATCCCTAAACCTAACCCTAAATTATAACCCTAACCCTAAACCTAACCCTAAACCTGACCATAACCCTGACCATAACACTAATTCTAACCCTGACCCTAACCCTAACCCTAACCCTCCACCCTTCATAATTGTGAGAAATAAATATTTTCTGGTTAAACTTGTTTGGACTTATTGTACAAACCTATTTAACATCCACTATTTGAACATAATATTATGGATAGAGATTAATTCAGTGTTTGCAAGATTAATTTAACTAATTTCAAATTAATGTCTATATTGCCATAAAGCAATTAGGATTTTCTTGCCTTAGATCTTCCTATTGGGGACCTAATCAAAATGGCCGACTTGGATGTGGGAGGGTTGGATAGCCATCCTTAACTTCCTGCAGACTTGATTAATGTTGGCATGTTATAATTAGCCATTAGCCGCAGCTAGCAATTCAAGCTAAAGTCATGCTAATGACCACAAACAACGTACATAAATAAATAAATAAACCAGGGTATGGATACTTTTGAAAATGAGTATGGTATCCGGATACAACGTTTTAGTATTGATACTTTTACCTGGCGATGAGGTAATTTAAGGACAGGCGCAGGATGGCCAGGAACAGGAACATGGGGATGGCCCAGCCGTGCCAAGCAGCATTCATGTAAATCTGCAATCAAAGGGAGTGTAAGTGTCACTAAAATAATATATTTCTTCTAAAATGTTATGTTTATTTCTAAAAATTAGAATAACATATTTTAAGTTGTTTGGTTCATGTTTTAACCTCCTGAGACCCTGTGTCCTCATAAGAGGACGTTGCATTTTTG